TTGATTGGTGGATCACTAAAAAATCGAGTTTAAGTATTCCCCATAATTGGTACTTTCTTATTCCACATCTATATAACTATACCCAAGAACATGTTGTTCGAAACATCTTCACCCCAAGGACTCCTCAAGTTCCATCTCATCAATTCCCTTTGTCATTTAATCCTCGTGTCCGGACTATGAACTTGCATCGTCTATGCTGACACTGCAATGCAGTGCTGGGGGTGTGGTACATTGTTTGAGGCAGGGTTCTTCAAATGAAAATATTAAACCAAGGTTCCATCTGCCTGTTCAGGTGGATGTTAAAGTTCCCACAGCAGTTTTCGAAAACAGAAGATTTTCTACCGATGTCCAGATTCTACCGATCTGTTTGTGGGACATTATATTGTGTAAATATTGACTACCACATTCATCTATAAAATGCACAGCCCCTAAACTTTATTGTGAAGCGATTTGAGACGTCCTGCTGACCTGAAAGATGCTAAATCGATGGAAGGATTTTTAAGTCGCATTATCTTCAACGTTTATATTTCAAATGAGGAAAATATTAAGTTATCTCCGTCTCCTCTCATCGCTCATTACCTCCATCATCAAAGCCTTATTGCTGTCACTGCATTACTAAGTCATTTAGTAATTTTCCTTCCAGAATTTAGAATAGGGTATAAACTTGTCTTTCGACTTATAAATCTGAGCAACGAAGCCTGTAAACAGTTATTAAAATAATTTGACTAGATAGCTGAAAGACAGGATTATAAAATTCTTTACTAATTGGCTGCTGTCAAACCAAAGTAATGTTAAATGACATGTTCTCTGCCTCTCAGAAGAACTTATTGAGAAAATGGTGGACAGGAAACTTGGTGTTAGAATTTAATTCTATTAATCCTGACAGCTAAGAGGGATCCAGTAGTGCCTTTGATTCCAACTTAGAAAAGAGGCTGTTAGGATAAAGTTCCAAGAATTGAATATCATAAAATGTAGCTATATAAATAACAATATGAGCATTTTAAAGTTTTGTGTATTTATGCATGAAAAATAACTTGAGTAATTGATCCAGATAATGCCTTGCAGTTGATAGTTTTATTAAAAAATGCAATACCAGACAATATTATGCAACAAATATTTTTCAAAAATAACTTTTGTTGAATCATTTAGCGATTCATTTAAACCTTTCTTGACTTATTTAATATATGATTGGGACTAATTTCCGATATTTCTTTACAAGGTTTCCTGTGGTCAGTATGTTATGCTTCGATTGCTGGAATTTGTACAAATTGGATTCCTTATTAAGATATATTGGAAATTACCCTCTGACATATTGTAGATACTTATAGTTTTATTGCCAATCATTCTAAGACTTACTGGAACAGCTAGCCTTATATACTTGTAATTAAATCTTTACAAAAAACAGGTCCAGTAATATATTATGGTAAAATTGTTGGTCATGAGTTTCACATAAATAAGGCAAATCTTTTAGTAAGCACAATTTCTTGAGCTTTATTTTCTCCAAACCCCATTTCAAATCCAGGAGGAATTACTGGTCCTGTAAGCAATTCCGTACGGCACAGCACAAATAATTATTCTATTAGGCAGGACAATGTGATTGTTGTATGAATATGCAAACTGCAGTTTTCATCAATTTCCTTTCAGAGTAAAACATCATGGTCATCATATTTATCTGTAATTCTTGCAAGGGATGGTCACAGAAGGCAAAACTGCAATTTATCCTAAATACTTTTGTTTCTTTGTGGCACCTACATTTCTATGAGTCTTATTGTTATTTATGAGCACAGTAAACAGTTTTGGCATTACTATTATTCTGAATCATGGGGGTATTTTAAGATATTTTGCACAGTTTTCTTAAAGAAGAAATGGAGGTTAGGATTTTTATAAAACCTTCACCTCGTTGGATCTAGTACGGTGCATTCAGTCTATTGAGACATTTCAGCATTTATTTACATCCTTTTTTAATCCTATTTCCCCACCCATTGGTTAAAAAGCTTACATCTCGTACCATAGGTATCTATTCGACTGCTTTTGGTAATGTTTCCCAACCCCTCTCAACTACAATCCCTAGCTCAGGTGCCCATCCAGCATTATTACATGCTTTAAGACAGCCTGCCCACATGAAAGGCACAATATAAATATAAATTGTATTGTATCTGAAGTATCCACCTTATCCCTCAAACACCTTGACCAAAGGGGGCTCCCACCAGGCTGAAGCCAGATGTGTGTTGAATAGCTGATGTGGAAACTCTGAGGCATGAAACAACAGTTGTTGGAAGGCATTACTTGGGAGTCCAGATCCGTGATCACACATTCATATATCCAGGGCTTGGAATCTTCCTGTATTTGTATGCAAAGATAAGCAGCTGCTGCTCAAGCTCCACACCTCTAGTGGTGGAACCATTGCTCAGTGGTTAGGAATGTGTGTCTGAGCTACGTACAGGAAGATGGTGGCAATGTTTTCTATAATTGATGTTGAGCTGTGCTGCTCACCAGGAAGCTGAAAGGGAGTGTCTGATACCTGCTATTTTGTTTTGGTCAGATGGGTGTCTTGCAGAAACCTATCACCATACTTAAAAGAGTACCCACACCATCTATATATGGAAACTTCTGCATCTGGAATGGAAGCTTTCAGCACTCCAAGGCACTACATGAGTGAAGGGCACTACATAAATGCAATATACATTCTCTCCTCAGGACACACCCTACTCACCTTAAGTCCCATTACATAGTGGCTAGCATGCTCGGCTCACAAGCGAGAGGGTCTGGGTACCGATTCCCGGGTAGGGCGAAACCTTAGGCAAGTTTCCTTAATCTGCACACCTCTGTTTAGCAGAAGTAGGAACTTGGTTTTTAGTCGATTGGCGGATCACTTTCTGGAGATAATAATCCTTTCAAAAAAAATGTGGTCACTTAATCCATGACTGTTTGTGGGACACTGCTGTGCATACTTGGCTGCCGCATTTCGCTCACAAAATATAGTCAATTCACTTTACAATATACAGGGTAATCAACAGGTTGTGATAACATCAATCTTAAAGAAATTATATTTTAGTTTTAGTTTAGATAATAGGGTAAGTTATCACGACTTTTTGGTCACCCTGTATATTCTGTCTGAAGCACTTTGAGATGTCTCAACGAGATGATAAGGCACATCAAATGCAAAGATTATTATTACCTTATCACAGAGTGCTAAGAGCGAAGGATTGGAGACCATAGAGTGCAGTGGCTTGCAGGGTGGGTGACATGTTGCAAGCTAATATTCGCTGCGTGAAGGGAGTGACTGCTTTGGTAGGATTGAAGGAGGGCACAGAGTTAGTGGAGCAAAACGCATGGGAGGGATTTATGGGACGTTGCTATGCGCAAACTGGCTGCCTCATTCACGTAACAAATACACAATTATTACACTTCAGAGTAAATCCTGTGAAGCTTTTTGTAATGTCCTCCTGACGTGAAAGGCAGTACATCAAATGCAAGGATTATTATTATTAAATCCTCTGTGTAGTCAGGGATGTTACGTACTCGTGACCAAATTCTTAAGATTTCCTGTTTTTATTTCTTTCTTCTATTGTTCTTTAGATTTTCCTGCAACATTCCCCAGTTACGTGGACAGTGATATGATCTCTCCCTGTCCTCTCTTATCTCATCCAGTAACCAGCTGCTGGTGCTTATTAACAGTCTCTGATTCCACTTGCAGTAGTAATACTTGTGCATACACTGCAGCAGAAGTGGAACTGCATTTAGAAATGCAGGTGCAAAACACTAACTCATCTTCAAAGCCAAGTGCAATCCTGTTTTTTTTAAGTATGTTTGCTGCTGATGTTATATTGTGGCAAATACTCAATACAGTACAAGTATAATTCATCTGCACTAGGATGTGGTTTCTGCCTCAAGTCACTGATCTCCCACCAATGTGTCAGGTTGTTTTTTGTGTTCATGAAAGTTGAGTGAAAAAGACAAACACACTGTCACAAACCATTTTGCAGGGCCACGAAGTTTCAGTCATTTTTGGGGGGTTATGCGGAAACCATGCTTAAAAATATCCAATCCAAACTGACAGTTCTACACATGCAGGTGCCTATGCACTGACATTTCCTTTTATCTGGAATGGACAGATACTCTTTCCTCTGCTTACCTGATTTCAGAAGACTTGGAGGACCCCAGATTGTGATGGGGTACTGCTGGGTTTTAACCAGCTGGGTTTAATACTACGTAGCTTGTCACTGCAATGCAAACATTATCCTTTTGCTAATCCAGCTTGGACCACATTACTCATTAGGGCTTTGGTTTGCAGGGTTAACAGGCTTGAGAGGAGAATCCCTGCCCCTCCAGGCTAGCTGGATCATCTATAATTAACAGCACTTTGCAGTACTATAGATCTGTCTTGGTTAGGAAGCAGACTACCAAGGCGACAACGGTGGATGGACTAGATTCTGATATTCCATGGTCAGTCACATCACCTTGAAGCCAGCTCAGCTGCCAAGAGACATTCATTTATACTGTGGAAATTTTGTATAAAAATCCTTAAACATCTCATAACAAAACTGTGAACACAGTTTTAAAATGAGGGAAAATTGTTTTCAACCATTTATACCCTTGAACTGAAAGACTAAAAAGAATTGATTGAAAGACAGTCATTACCTAAGAAATTGTTTTTCTCTAGTGTCTGCTACGGATGTCAGTTGGCAGTAGTACTCAATGAAACATCAGCAGACAAAAGATTAGGGTCAATTGGTATCACACAGCACATACTATTTCCCATGTAAAAACTGTGGAAATATTTCCCATTGTTAACGTAAATCACTGTAAATTAAAGTATGTAAAATAACAGCTACAATGTGAGCTTTAAAGTGAATCATTAATTCTCAAGTTACAGAAAAGACTCGATGTGCAACGATCACCCAAAGCATCATAGCAATAGTTTACTTCCAACCCATAAAATGCAGCCAATATGTATTCATTGCCACTGATGCAGTAAAATGGATACTCTGACTATAAGGAATAATTCAATAAACTTTATTTAGGCATCAAATCTCAATTCAGCAACTTAGATAAATTGCAATGCAATACAATTACAAATTAAAGTATTATCCCATTCTCTAGTACTAATAAAACATTCTTTCAAAATTCAAAACTATATCAATAAGTCAGAAAAATAATCATCACCATTATAAATAGGCAATTAGGTAGATCCTGCAGTCAATGAAGAACATATTATATTAACTGACTGAATTATTTAAATTGGAGATAGAGAATACGACCACATTACCTATTAGTGCTTTGGGTCGCCAACAAGCATATATGGACATATTTAATAGAACATGTGTATAGTAGAATATATCATTTTATTTCCATCGCACATAAAGGCCACATATTTTTCCGTACATTTAAGACAACATTAATTATAGAAGNAAAAAAACTAACCAATATCCCCACGAATTGTTTAGATGCTGAATGTATACTAGACTTTTTTTTGATATTGATATTTTATATCAATTGACTTGCTTAAAAGATGAAAATAATTCTCTCTCATTCTTCTTCAGCCAAGCTGAGTTGCAGAACTCCCCATGACCTCTGATCAATTCTATTCTGTCTATGATCATCCAGCTGGAGGCTCAATGTGGATGGTGATGAACTGAATGTTAATTTCCCCCTCCTATCACACTGTACCTCAAGAAGAATACAGCTTTCCTATAGTAGCCAAACTGATCATTCCTTTCAATGAGGTAACAGTTTTTACTCAAACAAGCACTCACAATCTTTTGTTTGTGAGGGTTGACTGGTGCCCAGTGAAGTTACTGATCAATAACATCAAAGAAAATCAATTTGCATCAGAAAATAGAACAAAAATACTGCCAAATTTTGCTGAAATATATAGAATGCTGTAAACAAGATTTATATTGCAAAATAGAACATTAATTAGGAATCATAAAGTACAGAGTTTTCCAGAGTAAAATCATACCAGAAGTTTGCTAAATTCTCATTTACATCCTTAGGTAGTTTTAAGGCGTCTGGGAAATCGTGAAAACTGGCCTGCAATGCCAGAATGTGAGGCGCTAAAGTGAATGGAACATCACCAAGGAGCTCCACAGCTAAAGAAGTATTTTCTTCCGGTTGGTTCATCTGTTCAGCAGTCGCTGTTTCCTCTGTTAGTGCAGGGTATATGTTTGTTGCTTCTCCCTTAAAAAAAAGAAAATGATATGTGATAAAATACAAGCTTCTTATAATATTGTACTATACAAAGATCAAATTGGCCATATAGTAAGATTAGTTTTCCAGTATTGACCCAGTCCACTTATTCAACAAATATAACCTTAAATCTTGCAGCTTCAACATTTTTCTGCAGTTGTGCATGTACTGCATCTCCACCGATTGCACTAGTTATATAAAGAGTCTAAGAATGAAATAGGAAGTAGTTATTCAACAAAGAATTATAGGATAATACTGAGATTGCAACACAAATTTGGGTTTTCTAAATTGGTTTAAAATCTCTTGTTTATAACTTCATAGTATGATAGTCAGGGCTACAATATGATTTTGAGGTATGAGGTATGTTTTAAAGGTGGGTTTTGAAGGCGAAGAGGGAGGAACTTTAGGGTGGAGTTCCAGAGAGCAGGGGCAGAATCACTGAAGACTTACCCACTAATAGTGGGGCAGATGCAACATTCCAAGATGCTACCGTGCGTGAAGGGCACTGTAATAATGCAAGTAGTTATTGAGATAGTATGTAATCTGAAGGACCATCTCTTCACTATTGCCAAAAATCCTATATATATATATATATATAGCCACTTTCACAAGTCTCAAAGTGCTTTACACAGCTGGCTGGGCACCTGAGTGAGAGGGATTGGACAGAAAGATGACTGAAAACGTGGTTAACATGGTGGACTTTGAAAGTGGGAAATAGGGACTCAGGGATGGAATCAGCCACCTTCCTAAAGGCAGAGGTGAGCTGGAGTGAGGTTTAGCCAGAAATCAATCAGGAAGAAACATTTGCTAAGTACAGTAGATTGGTGTGTCTACTCTGACTGTAGACAAAAGCATTGTACTGTACTCTTTCACCACCAGACGGTTTGCATTACTTCCTTTTTAGAACTTATTATCAAAATTCATTATATAACTATATCAAACTATAACTACAAATAATTACTGAGCAAACTGTGAAGAGAATTATTTGGCTAAAGAATGTTTGCAACTCTAGAGTCTAGATTATAAAAACATTACTTTTATAATGAGCAACTAGCTTTGGATGGTTTACACACCATGCAATAGGACTTCACTGTCTCGTTATGTTGATGGCTTATGCCTCCAAACCACAGCCAGAACTTTTCCAAATTAAACTGTTAAATCAGCATGGTTTATTTGTAAACAGTTTGCTCCAGGTGTTTTTCTCTTATTCAAATGTGTTTGTGATAAAATCTGGGTTAACTGATATATATATTTTGCTCACAAAATATACAGTCAATTCACTTCACAGTAAATCCTGTGAAGCACTTTGAGATGTCTCGAAGACATGATAAGACGCTATATCAAACTTAAGGATTATTATTATATATTATACTTATTCCACCTCTTCTTTGGACTGTTTAAATGAGCACGCTATTCACTACAGACTTTCACTAAACCACACTGGCAAAAACTGGAGGTTAATTTTTTTTCAAAATGTTGTGTAAATAACAAACACCCTGGGGTAATGGTTCACACAGAATAAGCCACTCACATTGCAGAGATTATAACTCTGTTACTTGTGAGTTAATTATAACAGTTGCTGTTTATTTTATACAAACAAACTCCACAAACAGATTTGTATCATCTAGTCCTGAAGTATAATTAACTACCATAAAAGATTAGCAAAACGGAAATTATCACTTGATTTGCATTAGCCATTTTCTATGTAATCCATTCAAAATAGCACAAACATCATCAGAATGCTGTTAAAATGTAAAGCAGAATGAAAAGCTCTATTTGAGATCAAAGCCAGCATGATTCATTCAATTGAATGGTAACATGATTTTCAGTTTATCTGAATAGTCTCATCGTATAATTTTCTCAAATGTTTTAGAGTTTTAATATCAGGAACAGTGAGGTCAGAAAATAAAATATAAATAGTCCTTTTAAAATTTTAAATATGAACCCAGGCTATGATTAATCAGGAACCAATATTAATATACTTCTAAACATCCTTGCTGTCAATTGTATTTTGCTATTTTTGTAAACTGTGTGGAAAGGTCTTGAACACTTGACCCAAATTAGAATGTTTAACACATCAATACATTCATACTAATGAATTTATATCCGATATACCAGAAACATTATACACCACCAACTTAGTATTCACTAGTCACTGCTACCAATTAATTTCACAATGGCCTTTGTAAAACAAACCACACAATTTTATTGTCTGTGCATTGTGAATGGAGCAAGATTTGGGGATATTTATTGATCTATTATTTGCCAAGCCTTTCTTTATATAGTATTGACTGAAGAGGGAACAAGAAGAGCAAACAAGTCTTTTCCTTTTCCCACTGTGATCTTTGAAAGATAGAGTCTTCATTTGGTAAAGCTTTGTTTGGAGAGAGAGGAAGAGAGCTTTGTGCGGTGACTCTGATGTGCTTTGACCAGATTCCCATCCTCATTCTGAGCTTACAAAGCAAATTAGTTTTTCCATGAACAATGCTGTTTAAAACAGCTTCTTCTAGAATGTCATTGTTAGTAGGGCAGAATACACATATATAGTTTAGTATAATGTAAAATTGTAATTTGAAAGACAAGTATATTTATAAAAAAATAATTATTTTGCAAAGTAGAGAATAGAGTATTTCTTTTTAAACACTTTCACACCATTAATTTTGTCTACCTTCTTGATTTTAGAAACAATTGTTTTCTCCCCTCCCTCACTTTCTCAATACAGAAGGACTGCCACATTTTTCAGATACCCTTGAGCAGGGCATCAAGTCTGGTCACAGAACCCTTAGGCACTGTGCCAGGAATGGCATCCACAAATCTGCTCGTTCACTTTGTACCTAAATTACTGATTGGCCACAAAGACATATAGATTATCAAAACTGAGCTCTACAATTCAATACTCACAACTGTTAAAAGAAACAATTCTTGGTGATAACTACAGTAATATATCCTGAAACCTTGAACATGAAACATTTATGTCAATGTAACAAAGAACAAGGTAAAGAGATCAGATTTACCCCTGAATAAAACAGACGTTTTCATTCATCCAACCTTTGCTCTGTCTGTGATGTGCACTGATCAATTTTACCATCAAAAGTCTTGTATTCATACTATGGTAGAATAAATCATGTAGTTCAAGGCTTGAATATCAAGCACCAAACATTAATACCTCCCTGTCACCACTAATTTGACAAGGGCTGAAGATAGCTTGAAGGTCATTCGTGTACAAAAATGTGAAGGCTTGTAGTCGTTACCCACACATGTGCTGTACTGTAGGTGAAGTGAAAGATTAAATGTGATTAAAGGTTAGTGTTTGCTATCAGACACATATACATTTATAACCACTGATTTATTTTTTAATTTCCAGACAAAGTTCACAAAGGAGTCCTGTACAATGCGCTACCATAGCCTAGGCCCAACNAAAAAGCACATTCTATACTACAACACAGCTATAATGAATGCGCTTTGCTTTAATCCGGTTAATTGGTTAAATGGTTATGTGGGTTTGCTTATAGGGACGTGGATCCCAAAAAATACAAAATACAAAAAATACTTACCCCAAAAATACAAAATGTATATGCCGGCTCCATCTGCACTTCAAAATGCAGCGTGTACAAAGATGTCAGGAGCAACATGATGATTGTGTCGCTCTCTCGCTGACAATTTGAATTGTTATTAGCCCTGTTGTAGCGGTGGTTAGGATTTTATGAACCTCAACTACTGCTTCAGACTTTAGAATGGCCTTGTTTTAGTTGTTGGATTCTTGATAGATGGGTGATGTCTGATTTCCCTTATTTGCCCTAAAACTGCAAATGAATACATAGCCATTTTCCTAGAATAGAATTTTACGAAACAGTAAGAAGCCCAGCATGCCTCGGCCGACTTTCTAAAAAGATCTATCCATTTAGTCAATGCCAATCCCTCTCTCTTCCCCACAGCCCTTTATGTTATTCTTTTGCGAATATTTATTTAATTTTAAAAGCTATTTTGTATTCTACTTCAGTTACCTTTTGGCAGGGCATTCCATGCCCAAATAATAATAATAATCCTTCCATTTGAGACAGCGCCTTATCACGTCATCAAGACATCTCAAAGTGCTTCACAGAATATACTGTAAAGTGAATTGACTGTAAAGTTTTTTTGTAGGTGAAATGGAGCGGCCAATTGCACATGAGTGTCCCAGAAACAGTCGTGGATTGAGTGACCCAATTTTTTTTAAAAAAAGGTATTATTACTAATAAGTGTAGTCTGTTTAATGTGCAAACGCAGCAGCCAATTTGTGAACAGCAATCTTCCACAAACAGCCGCGAAGTGAAGTAATCGAATGACCAGTTTTATCTGGGGGATTATCAGCCAGGACACAGGGGGAAAAAAGTTTGTCTTCGAAAAGCATTACAGTCTCTTTAACGTCTACCTGAAGAGGGCGCAGATGGGACCTTGGTTTAACTTCTCATCCAAAGGGCGACGTCCCTTACAAAGCAGCACTCACCCCCAGCTCTGCGATGGAGCAAGCATCACTTTGGATTTTGAGCTGAAGTTTTAAGCCTTGATTCTGTTGTGAATGTGTATGAAAACATCACATATGCATACATCTTTTCATTGGACATGGTGGACAGGGAATTCAAACATTTGGGAAGCAGACTGAATCCACAACATCAACTTCATTTCCAAAGCAGGCGCCGAGGATCTTTAATCAGTATAAAAAAATCTTTAATTAACTTTAATCAATGTAACGCATTCTAATCTTCCCCTATTTTCTGGCAATGAAAATTTGGTAAAAGATATTTAGGATGGGCTGATGAATATTTATTTCATTAAAATCCTGATAAATAATTTAAAAATTCCTTGGTGTAAATATTTATGGTAGAAGATTATTAAAAGAAATAAAGGACTTTTTATATAGAATTATATGTAGGATATAAAGGTTTATATCTATGTATCTAAATACACCAGCATTCCTAATTCAGATGACATACAGCTTGGAACAGTGGTGT